AATTCTGAAACACAGAGGCTCAAACTAGATAAAAGTTTACTCTTTCACATAGGGTTTATATGATGGGACCATTGGTATATGGCAGCTGCACAGTGTCAGGGACACAGGTTCCCTCCGTTTAATTGCTCTGCCATCTTCAACTGTGGCTTCCATCCCCTGACCTAATGTGGCTGCTCCAGCTCCAGCCATCATCTCTGCCTTCAACTAGCAGGAAAAGAGAAAAGGGTAGAGGAATGCATGCTTCTTTCTTTTGAGGGCATAATCTGAAATTTTTGCACATAATTTCTGAAATGATTCATAGTATTTGTTCAGGTACAACCATACCAGAAGACATAATGAAGTAGTGAGATGCTTGCACCTACGCATAGAATTGCTGTGAATATAATAGCCACAAATACAGCTTCATACCAGGATCCTGGTTTATGTTGAGGCAGCATTATTTTGGGTGATGTTCTAAAATGGTATACATACAACTCTTAGTAAAATTTGGAATAAAACAACATAAAAGCTTCCCTCAATTTATATAGCTTTTGCATTTCTGAAAGAAAGTGTGTTAAAACAGTGCAAAATAAACCAAAAAAACTTTGTGTTGGATGTGAAATAGAATTAGGTTCTAGGCTTGGATAATTATAAGCAAGTTTTTCACCTACAGAAATGTCTAGCAGAATGTTTGAAAGTCATGGGATGTGGATCAATTCTTGTTGTGTGGGACTTTCCTATACTTTATGGTACATTTATCATCCCTGGCCTTGACCATGCAATTCCCTCCTCTAGTTACTGTAACAACCAAAACAGCTCCACAAATTTCCAAAATGTCCCCTAGGGACAGTACAACTCATATAGATAGCTCTAGAGCTACAAGGTATGTTGACACCTGGTCTAACTTCCAACATAACACAGAATTTACATAGAATTTAATGAAATTTAATTACATAGAATTTAATGAAAAAAACTTATGTCTTTGCCATAATTCTTTTAGACAAATACATATTGAGCACTTACCACATGCTAGACACTGAATTAGACACTGGAGATTTAATGGTGAACAAGATAGGCACAATTTCTTCCCTTATACAGATAAATAGACAGAAAATATTTGTAGTTTATAGCAAGTGCTATGAAAGAAATGTATACATGTGTAAACAAGAGCCTAACAGAGGTGACCAAGTTTAGATAGGGTGATCACAAAAGCCCAAACAGAGACCTTTAGGGGAGAATGAGCTGGCTATGCAAATCGTGGGGATGGGGAGAACATTCCAGACAGAGGGAACAACCTGTGCAAAGGCTGTACAACGGGGGTGGGGGGTGGGGGGGGGGGATGGGGGGGATGGAATGACCAGGGTGGCTGCAGAATAGTGAGGGACGAGGGAGAAGGAAAGTGACCCAAGAAGAGAGTGTAAAAATAAGCAGGGACAAGATCATACAGATACTAATAGGCCCTGATAATGAATTTGGATGTATACCAGTTTATTTTCAGGGACAGGTTAAGACACTGAAGTGGGGGACCTCCCTGGTGGTGCAGTAGTTAAGAATCCTCCTGCCAATACAGGGGACACGGGTTCGAGCCCTGGTCCAGGAAGATCCCACATGCTGCAGAGCAACTAAGCCCGTGCGCCACAACTACTGAGCCTGTGCTTTAGAGCCCGTGAGCCACAATTACTGAGCCCACGTGCTACAGCTACTGAAGCCCGCATGCCTAGAGCCCATGCTCTGCAAAAAGAGAAGCCACCGCAATGAGAAGCCCGTGCACCGTAACGAAGAGTAGCCCCTGCTCGCTGCAAATAGAGAAAGCCCGCGTGCAGCAACGAAGATCCAATGCAGCCAAAAATAAATAAATTTTTAAAAAGACATTGAAGGGGTTCAAACGGGAATTATGTGAATCAGTTGAAGGGGTTCAAGCGGGAATTATGTGAATCAATTTTCAGTTTAGTGTCATATCTGCTTTTGGTGAAAGGAAATAAAAGAGAGAGGAGAAAAAATAATCCAGGGAGAAATGATAGGAATTAAGACAGAGGGGTGGCAATAAAAGAGAGAGAAAAAAAAATCTACAAAGTGCAGTTTAAAAGGTTTAATTAATTATACGTCATATTGCAGAACCAAGAACCAATCACATTTTGAGGTCCTACCATATGTCCCGTATGGCAGACACATGATTGTCCCTGCCCACTGGGAACTGATAATTTATTAGGGGAGCAATTAACAAATAAAAAATCATATCAGTAATCTCATAGGACCTTCGCTGACACCTTATAAAAAGTCATTTTTTTGTGTTAACAGGGAAAATATGTAGAAATATAAAAATATTTTTACGGGGTTTCCCTGGTGGCGCAGTGGTTGAGAGTCTGCCTGCCGATGCAGGGGACACGGGTTCATGCCCCGGTCCAGGAAGATCCCACATGCCGCGGAGCGGCTAGGCCCGTGAGCCATGACCGCTGAGCCTGCGCGTCCGGAGCCTGTGCTCTGCAACGGGAGAGGCCACAGCAGTGAGAGACCCGCGTACCGCAAAAAAAAAAAAATATATATATATATATATATATATATATATTTACGTTATATCATTGCTGGTGCTTATTGTATTTATAGCCTGATTTTCCTGTGCCAGTAACCAGAACGTGAGCAACGTTGAAATAGGTATTTCATTCTTTTCCACATACATACTTTTTCTGTAGGAAAAATTTACGCCAGGTCTTAGACATGGGGTAGATACCAGATTGTAGCAGTTGGTGGGAAGGTTAAAAGAACACTCAATTTAGACATTACCAGCATATCTAAGCTCTCACGCACAACTGCCAACAAAGATCCTGAACTCTGGCCTCTTCACAGATCCACTTTTTTTTTTTTAATTTAACTGTAGTTGATTTACAATATTGTATTAGTTTCAGATGTTTAGCTTCAGATCCTTTTCCATTATAGGTTATTATAAGATATTGAATACAGTTCCCTGTGCTTTACAGTAAATACTTTTATTTTATTTATATGGTGTGTATCTGTTAATCCCATACTCCTAATTTATCCCTCCCCCTCCCCTTTCCCCTTTGGTAACCATAAGTTTGTTTTCTATGTCTGTGAGTCTGTTTTTGTTTTTGTAAATAAGTTGATTTGAATTATTTTTTTTTAGATTCCACATATAAGTGATATTATATAATATTTGTCTTTCTCTTTTTGACTTATTTCACTTAGTATGATAATCTCTATGTCCATCCATGTTGCTGTAAATGACAATATTTCATTATTTTCTATGGCTGAGTAATATTCCATTGTATGTATATACCACATCTTCTTTATTCATTCATCTGTCAATGGACACTTAAGTTGCTTCCATGTCTTGGCTATTTGTAAATTGTGCTGCTGTGAACACTGGGGTGCATGTATCTTTTTGAATTGAGTTCTTGTCTTTTCCAAATATATGCCCAGGAATGGGATTGCAGGATCATATGGTAACTCTATTTTTAATTTTTTAAGGAACTTCCATACTGTTTTCCATAGTGGCTGCACCAATTTACATTGCCACCAACAGTGTAGAAGGGTTCCCTTTTCTCCACACTCTCTTTAGCATATATTGATGATGGCATTTTGATGATGGCCATTCTGACCAGTGTGAGGTGATATCTCATTGTAGTTTTGATTTGCATTTCTCTAATAATTAGCAACATTGAACATCTTTCCACATGCCTGTTGGCCATCTGTATGCCTTCTTTGGAGAAATGTCTATTTAGGTCTTCTGCCTATTTTGTGATTGGGTTGTTTGTTTTTTTGATATTGAGTTGTATGAGCTGTCTGTATATTTTGGAAATTAAGCCCTTGTCAGTCACATGGTTTGCAAATACTTTCTCCCAGTTTACAGGTTGCCTTTTCATTTTGTTTATGATTTCCTTTGCTTTGCAAAAGCTTATAAGTTTGATTAGGTCCAGTTTGTTTATTTTTGCTTTTATTTATTTTGCCTTGAGAGACTGATCTAATAAAATATTACTAGGATTTATGTCCAAGAATGTTTTGCTTATGTTCTCTTCTAAGGAGTTTTATGGTTGTACTATATTTAAGCCTTTAAGCCATTCTGAATTTATTTTTGTGTATGGTATGAGGGAGTGTTCTAACTTCATTGATTTACATGAGACTTTCCAGCTTTCCCAACACCACTTGCCTAAGAGACTGTCTTTTCTCCACTATATATTCTTGCCTCCTTTGTTGAAGATTAATTAACCAGGGGGTGTGGGTTTATTTCTGGGCTCTCTATTCTGTTCCACTGATCCACTTGTCTGTTTTTGTGTCAATACCACACGTTTTGATTACTGTAGCTTTGAAGTACTATCTAAAGTCTGGAAGGATTATGCCTCCAGATTTGTCTTTTTCCTCAGGATTGCTTTGGCAATTCTAGGTCTTCTGTGGTTCCATATCAATTTTAGGATTATTTGTTCTAGCTCTTCACACATCCACTTTTGTGAACACTTCTGCCTAAATAATAGACAAACTCATAGATGGCCAACATAGGCTATTTGCTTTCTAAAAATTATAAGAAACTGATTTAATTTCAAATAAGAAAATTAGACCAAATATAGCAAATTGTCTCATTTAAAATAACCAGTGCACTGTATTAGGAATATCTTTTCAAAGAAATATCTTGGAATAAACTAAGAGTAACTTGCCTCAGACTTAAAAGTCCTAGATGAAGAACTACACTTTTGCTACTTAAAGTATACTTTGAGGGGCTTCCCTAGTGGTGCAGTGGTTAAGAATCCACCTGCCAGTGCAGGGGACACGGGTTCGAGCCCTGGTCTGGGAAGATTCCACATGGCACAGAACAACGAAGCCCTCGTACCACAGCTACTGAAGCCCGTGCTCCACAACAAGAGAAGCCACTGCAATGAGAAGCCCACACACTGCAACGAAGAGTAGCCCCCACTCACTACAACTAGAGAAAGCCCACATGCAGCAACAAAGACCCAACGCAGCCAAAAATAAATAAAATAAATAAATAAAATAAATATATACTTTGAGGCAAATTTTCAAAACATATTGACATTGGAGAACTTCTTGTGATAGCCTCATGGCATAGGGTTTGCACTCGATACCACGAGTTCAAAAACTACCTGACTTTCACATTCGTAACAATAACCCCAGTTCTTGTGGATGGTAATGTGGATCGCCCTCTGAGTTTGTCAAGAACAACTGGGATAAGGAAAATTTTAAAAAGTCAGAGGCCTAACATTTGTGGCCATTTCCATTCCCATAGTGCCTTTTGCAAGAGTAGGGAATGGTAGTTCTGATATCCTGGACACAATATAAACTGAGTAATAACACTTCGCCTACTTAAATACCCCCTGTAGTTTCAATTAGCTGGGCATGCTTCTGAACATTCTTTTGCTGTTAGGTGAGGCATTTTACAGCCGGCATGCATTGCTTCCGTGGTGAATAAAAGGGTGTTCTCGTGAGTAAAAGAGTGTTCTCATCTAGCACCAACTTTTCAAACCTGTGCAAGAGTAAGAATATAATTTAAACATTTATAATGTACAGTGTGGCGACCATAGTTACTAACACTGTATTGAATAATTGAAAGTTACTAAGAGAGAAAATCCTAAAAGTACCCAAGAAAAAAATTCTGAAACTTTATATGGGGACAGATGTTAACTAGACTTGTTGTGGTGATCATTTTGCAGGTACACAAATATCAAGTCATTATGTTATACACCTGAGATTAATATAATGTATGTCAATTATACAGCAATAAAAAAATAAAATAAAATAAACAGCCCTAATTTGCAATACATTTTCTGAATAGTAGGGTCAATAACACTTGTATAACATTTCTAATCCTAGGAAAGGCATAAAATCCAAGAATACAGTGGTCTACTCTTTTGATTATCAATTCAATAAATAGAGTCATGGCATTATTGCTGTTGGGTACCTAGTTAATAACCACACGATAACACTCAAAGCTCAAAAGAAATATAAAGGATATTCATAATTCAGCAATGGATTATTCAGATTTTACAGTAGATATGTCAGCAAATAATACTGGTTAAAGAAATCATATTCCCCTAATCCAACATTTCTTCCATTGTTTCACAGAAAACTGGTGTCCTTGAAGATCTTAGCAGATGTCCATCAACAGCAGTTTATGTTATCTAACAAGTTTGGGATATGCTGGGTTGAATAAAGTTAAAAACATTTTATTTTGTTTTCACAATGCCTTAATAATATGCTAATTCTTATTTTGACCTCCAAGAAAAGGATACAGTATGTGGAACTATATTTTCCCATTTCATGTGACTATAGAACCCTGGAACATGTGTTACTGTACATGGTATGTAGTTACACTGATTATCCTCTCTGCTTGCCTTAAGGGTCTCGTTCTCTCACTTTCCTCAAGTCATTTGCTCAAATGGCAGCTTCTCGGTGGTGCCTACTCTCACTAACTTGTTTAAAATGCCAACCTCTACCCTTACCCGTTTGGCAATCCTGGTTTGCCTTATCTTGCCTCACCTTTTATCCATTGCATTTATCATCTACATAATTATGTAATTTATTATGTTTATATTCTGACTCCTTCCATTAGAAAGAAAGCTTCAGGAAGGCAGGAACTTTTACTTTTATTTTACTTTGCTGCATCTCCAGTTGTTAGAACAGGGACTAGCTTATATTAGGTTCTCAGTAAATATTTGTTGAACGAAGAAAAAAAAGGGAATGTTTTTCACATGTTTTTAAAAGTCAAGATGTGTCTTGTAAACGATATGTTTCCTTTTCTCCTGTTAATGATGTATGTTACAGTCAGTTATGTCTTAGAATCTAGGAAATATTATCAGGGGACACTTGCATTCTTTTGGAACTCACTGCTGCCAGAATTAATTTAGCATGTGTTAAGAAAAAAAGAGTTTAATGTCATTTATGACTTTCCTTTCTCTAATTTTTATCACTCCCCTTCCTCCACCTGAAATTAATTTCTTGCCAAGTTGCCAAGCCCTGCCAACTCCATTTCAATAATAACTTCCTCATTAATGTCCTTGCCTCCTTTCCCACTAGGAAGGGCACATGGTAGGGGGGACGGCTGGCAATAATGCAGGGAGGAGGCCAGAACCTTATCAGAGGTGGCCTTCGATACAATTAGACTTTCTGTGAGAAGCAGCAGTGAGCCACTGTATTGGTTTAAGCAAAATTAGAATTTTAAGAAAGTTATCTCTGACAGTGATGTATCAAATGGCCCAGACATCAGCGTGATTCTCATTTCTAATTCTGCACTAACTCTTAATTTCCCTTCTTGTGATGCTCTTTCCATCAATTTCTCATCTATTCTCTCTTTGGTCACCTACTCACATCTCAGACCTACTAGTTCTCCAAGAGTCTGCATATGCAGCAAAGACACAGGCTCAATGATATCCCTGTCCCATCTCCTCTGAGATCTTTTTGGCCTCCATGCATAGACTGACCACAAGAAAAGGGTCAAAGGGAGGAAGAGGAGAAAGAGAGAAGCTTGACATATAATTCTTATTATGATCTCCAAATATTCTGATATAATGTAAATTAATCCCATTTTACAAATGAGGGAACTTCAGTTCAAAAAGATTAAGTATTTGGGAATTCCCTAGCAGTCCAGTGGTTAGAACTCGGCACTTTCACTGCCAGGAGCCCAGGTTCAATCCCTGGTTGGAGAAATAAGATCCTGCAAGCCATGCAGCGTGGCCAAAAAAAAAAAAAATCGAGAGAGAGAAAAGATTAAGTATTTTACTGAATTTCACGTAGGAAGTGAGGTTCAAGCCTAAAGCTTCCCAAAAGGATAAGAGAATAAAACTGGCTGACTTTCACTGAACCCATTCTAGAGAGTGAGGTGTATGTTTTACATGAATTATCGCATTTAAATTCCAACAGCTTTATGAGAAGCTGCATTTCTTATCCCCATTTTACAGATCAGGAGCTTAAAGTTAGAAAGATTAAGTAATTTGTCTAAGTTCACGCTTCTCAGAAATGGTGATTCTAGGAGTAGAGCCCATTTTACCTAACTGACGCGAGAGGTCCCAACCCCCATGTTATCAATTAACTCCAATGTTTTCCACTATGCCATCTTACTTCGTGTGGCATGGACAAGGACACATTTCTGGCCCAGCTCTGACCATCACTACATGCTGGTCTGTAGGCCTTGAAAAAGGTGAGCCCTCTATGCTCCTCTGTCAACATGCTGGCAGCAGCCATTTATCCTGCCAGTGTTTTGTGGGGAGAAGGAACCACTCTGGACAGATCAGTCCCCTGAAAATAGAAGGTCCTTTTTACCATGTCTTTTCCTGTTTCATTTTAACGATTTATATCCCCTCCACCACCACTTCTACCACCTTCCCCTACAACTGTGGGGAAGGGACAAAACTCTCAAGGTTAAGATACAAAATTACAGTTAAATTTCAACTATCTAATCAAAAAAGTCCCATATAAATTTTAAATGTTTACCTTTATTTTTCTGCTCAGGACTGTGGGTTGCATGGGGGCTTGGTAGCATTTCATTTGGAAACCCAGGGACCGGCTTCTCCCTTTTTTCTTTCATATTCATTTGTGGTTGGTTTTCTATAGTTGAGGTTTGGGGTAGAAGCATCTAAATTAGATAGCTGTTAATTTGTATCAAAGGAGTTATTACCCAAAATACTCTATGATACAAAGATTGGCACAAATAAAGGCTTAGAACAATTTAATTCCCATAGATGTGATGATATGACACAATAATAAAGAAAAATCAGAAGCGTCACAAATGTATTTACACTATGCTCAGATGTGAAAGAAATGGGGTTACTTTATTTAAGAATTGGGCTTCCTTCACAATCCCATACCCACCAGGTAGTTTAGAAAACATATTTTAGTTAAATTTAAATTGTTGGTTCAATGTTATTTGGTAATTCAGTCCATCTCTTTATGTAACCAAGTTTCTGCCTAGATGAGTCAGGGAAATGCTTGTCAAGAGTTCTGCCCTCTCCACCTGGATATACACACGATGAATAAGGCGTATGTAATCTTATAGGAGGTAGACTCCTTGAGTATATGACATATCTTCTAAGCTCTCCTGGTTTGGTCTGTTCCCAGAGCTGGTGACATCCTACAGTGACTTGTCCCTACCCTGGGCAATCTGATGCCCCCATTGCTAGAAACTGCCTTTGGTGATAATCATTCATGTTTACTTAACTCTGACAATGCTCTGGGGCATCATTTACACTTACTGATTGATTGGGCCCTCATCGCCACTTTTTTTTTTTTTTTTTTTTTTTTTTTTGCGGTAGGCGGGCCTCTCACTGTTGTGGTCTCTCCCGTTTTGGAGCACAGGCTTCAGACGCGCAGCCTCAGCGGCCATGGCTCACGGGCCCAGCCGCTCCGCGGCATGTGGGATCTTCCCGGACCGGGGCACGAACCCATGTCCCCTGCATCGGCAGGCGGACTCTCAACCACTGCGCCACCAGGGAAGCCCTCATCTCTACTTTTGATGACAAAATGTATTCCGTGGCATGTTACTGTGACCTCAATGGGAATTTAGCCTACAGTGGGTGGCTTCATTCCCCTTAGGCAACCTCCTTTGGCAAAGTTGCTAGGCAGGTCCTTCAACTACTTTCAGTCAGATCTTTCTGGTTCATTCCGAACCAGGATGCTCCAAAACTTCTGGATAGCTGTCATATCATACACGAGCTGAGGGAGACTCTAAGGGGCTTAAACTCAGACCTCTGTGTGCAAAACCATGTTAAGCCATTAAATTTAATTTGCTGTAACATCCTCCATGTTTAAGCAGAAGTTTCTAAGGCAATAGCTTCCAATATCCTTGTGGAGGGCAAAAGCCACTCTCCTCAGCATTTCCCCCAACCTCTCTAGAACATCTCTTCAATTCTCTTCTCCCACTGAACACCTCCCTACCCCAGGAATTAGTGTAGAGAAGAAAAACTGGAGCAGTGCTCACTTACCTTTCTACCTTCTTCTACCCAGAATCCAATAGGAGCTGAGAAGCCAGGCATGTCCTGCCTTCTTCCTAACCTGTCCCACTCTCCTCTCCTTTAAGACTCTCTAGTATTTTTTGGCCAGCTTCTCAATATGTTAAAGAAGAAATAAAGGAATTTAGAAAATCCTTTTCTTTCCAACGACCCAAATTTCATGACTATTGTCTCAAAAGAGTCAGTTTGTGAGATCCAAAACTGATCAATGGCTTCTTTGTTCTAACCCTGGGAATGCACACCTTCTTCCCTGGGGCTATATGCTCAAGAGGTAGAAGGAAACTTGATTTGCAAGGGAACTCAATTTAAAGGAGAAGTGTAAGTACTTTGATTTATTATTTCAAATGATTCAAATATGATTTCAAATATGATTTCAAATAATTCTCATTATAACTCCCACTAAGATAACAACATTAGTCTCTGACTACGTCAGATTCTGTGCACCAACATTATTTTATTTTTTTTACTTAACTCTTACAATAACCCTATTATGAAAGTCTTATTACACCTATTTTCAGAGAAGAAAACCAAGGCTCAGAATGGTTCACACAGCTGGTAAGGAGTTCTTGCTCTTATCTACTGCAGGCTAGAATAGTTTTTTTCAGTTTGACTACAACTCACAGAAGAAATACAATTTATGTCACAATCCAGATATACGCATAACAAAGCAAGAGTTTCATATAACAATATTTAATTTCCACTCATTTTCTTATATTTCATGCAATCTATTCCTTTCTTCTTTTTTTTTTTTAATGCTGTCACAACCTACTAAATTGACTTTACAACCTACTAAAGGGTCATAATTGACAATTGAAAAATGCTTCTCCAGCACCTGCAGTATCAGTATTACTGAATTCTAATAGAAATTACATCAAACTATTTAGCCATTTGGAAATCAGGCTAAGGTAATTTTTTGTGTACAAGCTGTAATTTGGAGAGCTTGAGTATGAAAGACTTGAAGCAAGTAAAATAGTGAGTAAAATGTCAGTTAAATACTAAGTAGCTTTAAAACTACTTAGCAAGAAGAAATCCAGATGCTGAATAAACATAGATTTGTAGTTTAAATACTTACCATTTCACAAAGTCATCTTTTTAAATTTGGCCTCTCAGAACTTATATCTAGATATTTTCACCCTCCATTTTGATCTGCGGACTTAATTATATCTCAGGATTTTAATTTTTTTCCCCAAGGATTTAGATTAAAATACAGCATTAGTTCCTTCAAAATTTTATTCCAAATCTCTAAATAGTTTCAAAAGAGAAAGGCTTTCCTGAGCTCAAAATTCTTGGATGATAAAGGATTTGTCAGTGGACATTCTGCACTTAGAATAAGCAAGATAAACCTAGGATTGATAACGCCAATTAATCATTTTGGAATGAATGAGTGACATTTCAGGAAACAGAAGGTTCAGAAAGTGTTCAAGAATTTCAAGGTCATAATCTTTTTTCTAGATACTAGCGCCATTGAGAAGAAACTAGCACTGGGGGTTTCAGGAGAGGGTTAAAAAAAAAAAGTATAAACAAGGTTGTGGAAGGAGAAACTCATATAACCTGCAGGGGGCACTACGGTACTTTTAGAGAAAGAATCAGATGAATGGACGTGAAAGGTACCTGTTATCCCAAATGTAAGGAGGCAAATGGGAAGAAAGTAGTAGATGTCTTCATTTATCATTCCTCATATGGTTCTGCTACTTGCTGCTTTCTTTCTCAAGTAGGCAGCCTAGACAGCAATCAGTGATTATAAAAGATAAACTACTAAATGATAGGAGAGGAAAAAAAATTCCAAAAAATAAGCTTCTTTCTACGGATTTGATAAATGAGCCATTGCCAACTAATAACTCCAGGATTTACCATTTAGTCAGGATTAGGAAATCCAAGGAGAAATGTTCAGAGCTCATGACATATTGATTATTGGCAGAGCAGTGGTAAATTACTGAAAGGAGTCTTAGTTCTTCCTTTATACGGTAGGGTCAAAAGGAGATCACAGATGGAAGACTCAGGTCAATGCCTTATTTTGCAGGATTGCTTCTCAGGAAGGAATGAATTGGATTAAGAATGATACCCAGGGGCTTCCCTGGTGGCGCAGTGGTTGAGAGTCCGCCTGCCGATGCAGGAGACGTGGGTTCGTGCCCCAGTCTGGGAAGATCCCACATGCCGCGGAGCGGCTGGGCCCGTGAGCCATGGCCGCTGAGCCTGCGTGTCCGGAGCCTGTGCTCTGCAACGGGAGAGGCCACAACAGTGAGAGGCCCGCGTACCGCAAAAAAAAAAAAAAAAGAAGAATGATGCCCAGGAATGCCCTTACATTTGTATAAACTTAACAGTGTGTAAAGCCCTTTTTTAAAACCCAGTTTGCTCCTCTTGATGACCTTTTTTTTTTTTTTTTTTTTTTCTGGGGTACGCGGGCCTCTCACTGCTGTGGCCTCTCCCATTGCGGAGCTCAGGCTCCAGACGCGCAGGCTCAGCCTCTCCGCGGCATGTGGGATCTTCCCGGACCGGGGTACGAACCTGTGTCCTCTGCATCGGCAGGCGGACTCTCAACCACTGCGCTACCAGGGAAGCCCCTTGATGACCATTTTATATTTGAAGGTTTATGGAGGTTAACTGGTTTGCCTAAGTCACACAGTAAATTTCAGAGAGGGGTCTTTAATTGTGTTTGGAGGGACTTATTCACAATGGGAAAATTCTGTTACCAGTCCAAGAGCTGTCAATTTATATTTTAAAGTGAAAATCAAATGGCAGATAGTCACAAAGCAAAATAAGGAAAATTTCTCATCACACGCTTTGTAGTTCCAAGAAGCTAACAGGAGTTTTCACAACATTGTCGAGCCAACACAAATGGCTAATCTTAACAGTACGCTAAATTGGCAGTCATGCTGTCTGCCCGATCAACAATATTCCATGCTGCTTGCAATTTATCTGGGTGAAAGTATCATTTCCAAGAGGTCCCTGTCAGAAAGTAAATAGAATTCTAATAATAAAAGTTAATAGAAGTAGAACCATTCATGCCTTCCCTCCACCTGGCCCTCCCCCTTTTAAAAAGTTCATTTATTTCATATATTTCAAAGCCTGAAAGCCAAAGGGAATCTGGAGTCAAAACAGGAAGAACAGGTTTGGGTGTGAACTCCAGAGGGAAGCCTCAGGTCTCATGATGAGACACAGTGATGTCATGAGCTCGAGAGGGGCTTTGAATTCAGACACAGGGTGGAAACCCATCCCTGCCCCTTAGAAGTACTTAGACTTATTGAGCCTTATTTTCATATTTGTGAAATAGGGATAAAATACTGATCTTGAAAGTTGATGTAAGGATCAGAAATAATACATGTAAATGTGTGGCACAAAATAAATCCTCAGTAAATGGTAACTAGAATTTGGGGTCCCTGAGGCTTGGTGAGAAATGTGGCCCAGAGCAATGTTGAAAGCCCTGAAGACAAGTTTGCCCTCTTCCCAAGCCTGCCTGCAGCTAGGCCTGACTTCAGGTCTTATTGTGGGTCTGCATATGCAACAGGCCGAAGACTCTGTCAGAAGACATCTTTTGTCTGAGTGTCACTTTAAGTTCCTAAGGATTTATTATACTTTGATTTGTACGAATCCTCCAAGATCAAAGATGGATTCTGAATGTTAGTTGTCAAATGAACGAACAATTGTGGAAATATAAAAGCAAGCAATTCATGTTGCCTTAGGAATAGCTCATTTGCAAAATCTAATATGCTATTACATTGACATATTTCCTCATTTCGTCTATTAAATCCTCCGTGTTAGTAAAACTAGTTTGTCACAACCAAATGCTACAATTATGTACATTTATGTACACATTCTATGTGTATAGTCTGCCTATAAAGAAAGCTGGGTCTGATTTGAAAAAAATCAGGAAATGAAGGTCCAAATTGAATAACAGCCTCTGCATTTCAAATATCTTTGAGTGTAGCTACATTTTTTAAAAAAAAATCTTCTGAAGTTCATACCTTTCTAAAACTTTCATTCTTCTAACACATCAGTGAATTAAAAGTTCTTAGATTAGGGAGCGGGACATTCGGCTTGCGAGCGGGAACGTCTTAGTCGTACACGGAGAAAGAACGATTTAAAAATGGGTGATGTTGAGAAGGGCAAGAAGATTTTTGTTCAGAAGTGTGCCCAGTGCCATACTGTGGAAAAGGGAGGCAAGCACAAGACTGGGCCAAATCTCCATATTCTGTTTGGACGAAAGACAGGTCAGGCAAGATTCACCTGTGTTTCAAGTTGTGTTCATTCGCCTGTTAAGGCAGGAGCTGAAGATACACTGACAATGTCCACTTTGTCTTTTTGGTCTTAAATATGTCAATTTAATTAAAATTCTCCATCTAAAAAAAAGAAAAGAAAGTTCTTAAAAAAAAAATCTCAAGTTGAAAAACCTCTGAACACAGACACCGTGAATTGAAACACCCCCAGGTGAACAGTAGGGTGTAAATGGGACTGCTCATGAGATACTGTACTGGAGGGGGGGATTCACTTTCCTGCTCCCTGATCTGTTGTTCTAATCTTCCATCCAGGACTTGGCCTATTTTATTTGAATTTGTCTGCATTCGGCCTGGGAAAAACGTTTATGTAAAGACCAACGTCTCTCGCTTGTGGTATAGATGAATGCGCTAGTTTAAACTCCTCTGTTCACTGTTGACTAAGACCTTGAAGAGTTCTTCAGGCTCTACCAGGCCCTAGAAGAGTCTATTGAGAGTCTCAGCCTTTTTCTTCCTGCCAAGTTCTTTTTTTTGTTAGGCTGATAAACTCCTAAATTGTTGAAAAGCAGTTGTTTGAAAAGGATTTAACATTCTCTTGGGGTTTCTGGATGTGAGGGCAATGTATCTGTGCCTGGGATTCGTTGGTCCCTAGCACAGTTAGACCTGGGTGACCTCTCTTTCTAGCTCTAAAAAGGTTTCTGGAATGTGATGGAAACACTGAACTACTTTTCAGAGAAAGCCATAGCCACTCATTTTCCTTTTCCCTCTGTCTCCCCTCTCAATGTGGATATCTCTCTATAAATGTTAGTCTATAAAATTAGGATTTCAGGTAATTTGATGTGCACTAGGTAAATGCTAACCAACCAGATAAGTTGAAAAATAAGAGAAGAAAAGAGAAGGGAAGGGAAGAGAAGGAAAGGGGAGGGGAGGGAAGGGGAGAAGAGGAAAAGAAAGAAGAAACAAAGCCTAGTCACACC